ATATAATCTATTTGACTTCAAATGAGGGACATACAACCTGCTTTCCAGTTTCCCAATTTTGTATCATACTACTCTAAGACAAAGGTGACAGAAAGGTAAATTTCTGGGGGGGACTAATTTCAGACAAGCTAGGTATGCCCTAAAACAAATCCAATTTTGTTAGGCGTTGATTTACCTCTCTAGAGTTTCAAGAGGTTAGACCTATGCATGTACAAGTCTGTATGCAACTATGCATTCAGATTAGAACTGGATAATATTAAGTGGAAATAATATCAGAGAGCAGTCCTGGGCTATGGAAAGAAAGGGAAAAGTGGGCTGGTTTGGCCAAGGGAGAGGCCAGAACAGTGATGTTTGGCCATTTTCAGTTTTTCCTGTGTCTGCTCACTTTCTCTGTGAACTTCTTAACTCTTGCAGTTTTGTATAGGCTGTTTTTTGTCATTACCTTCCATCCTCAGAGCTGGCTGCATTTCTTTGCTGAAAGATGAGACCCCTTTCTGGTAATGAATTAAGTTCCCTTAATGACTGTACAGAGATTGAAAGCATTTCAGTTGGTATCTTATGGGTTTATGTCTGAATTTCTCTGGGGTCTTTCAGTTCCATCTGTCTCCCCCTACTCCCATGCCTTTAGTGAGTTCATTATATTATTCTTTTTGATATTTTATCAATCTCAAGAATAACTATTTTGTTCTTTATTTCAGTCTGAAGAGACATGTGGCTGCTATTAACAGACTAGCAGATAAGGGCATGTTTTTTTGGGATTATGGCAATGCTTTTCTCTTGGAAGCTCAAAGGGCTGGTGAGTAGATCCTGGAGTTGTTAGATGGAAACAAGGGCAATCCTGCATGCATCATCCCAGCTGTATATTTTGGTAGTTAAAGGGTTGAGCACTGTGTTATGCTAACTCTTTAGTACCTCTCTTTCTCATTCTGAGACCCCTGACTTCCTCTGTGGCTGAGCTAGAGCCTTCATGGGAACCCAGGTGCAGTCGGATTTTACGTTTTTATAGTTTTTCTTCATCAAGTCACTGACTATTAAAATTATTTTATAGGTGCTGATGTTGAGAAAAAAGGAGCCAATAAAACAGAATTTCGATATCCTTCCTACGTTCAGCACATCATGGGGTATGTTGAGGAGAGTTGGGAATAAAGCTCTCAAGTCCCTTGTGACCCCCTCTGTTTAGGAGGAGAGTAGTACAGAGATTTTACTTAGTGCAAATCTGGCAGTGTACTATAAATGATGAAAAGGAGTCAACCGTAGCAGTAGGAAAATTTATCTCACAGGTATTATGCCAGAGTTAGTCTTATTTTTCTCCACTACGCAGTAATGCCCAGTGTGGTTTAGGAAGATATCCTGTTGGCTCTAAGCATCATACTCATGTTTTCTGTTGGCTTCCTTAGAGTTACTCCTTGCATTTTCCTGTGTACAGGGGAGAAGAATAGCCGGACCTGGAGGGACATGTTGTATGTGATTAACATAAGTAAACTCTCATAGCAGAGGTTTTGCTAATACTTTGTCCTGAAAGGCATGGCGTGTCTTGATAATTTGGTATAAAGCTTTATCCTTTTTAGAATTAAAAGGTTTTATGAATGCAGACACCAGATGTGTGAACAGTAAGCTAAAGCATTGCCAAATCATAACTCTTCAGTCCTTTACATGAATAGCTGCATTTTCTCTTTTGTTGCATCAATTTTCCTTAAGTGGTTCTACTCGAGAACAGCCAAGTCACAGCCTCAAACTGTAACTATATGCAATTTCACTTCTGGGTGCTGAAAGTGAAGAGCTTGTCTCTTCGGAGCAGTAGAGCTCGATTCCAAATCATCAAAGCCTATGTCTACACTGACATTAAAAGCACATCTGAAATAGGACACTCTTCTGCCCATATTGCCAACTGCACCTCTTACCCAAGCTGTGCATGCTGCTTGTAGAAAAAGCTGAGCTCAGGAGGTCTGTTGAGGGACTGGGTTTATAACACCTTTTGCCTCTGAGTCATGCTTAGCTTGCCTATATCATACAAATAAGAGCTTGAACATAGAATGAGGCACCAACCAGATCTATTCTTGTGGAACTCAACTGAAGTGTGTCTTACTATTGTGTGTAAACAATGTGGGCAGCAAATGAGTCTGGACTCAAGCACTTGTTCAGCACCTACACCTGTCTGATAGTGTAGATGCACTGAGCTAGCCTGGCTTAAGGACAAAAAGACCAGGCAGCAGGGAGAGAATATCTGATGAAACAAAAGAAAAATTACAATTCATCTGATGCACTTGTTTTATTGAACTGCTCAACATTCCTATCAAATTTCTGGCCTGACTGTATTTTTATATACCAGTTGATGGCTGTGTGAAACAGCACTGTTTAATTTCTCAATTAATGGTCCCTGATGCTTCTGTTTAGATTAGTTCATTGAAAATGTTTCAAATTCTTCCCTCTCCAGCTAATGAAAGAAAAGCACTGCTAGCAGCCAGGATAAATAAGGCAAGAATTTCAACTATCTCTTAATGAAACATGTTCTCTTCCCAGGGACATTTTTTCCCTGGGATTTGGGCCATTCCGCTGGGTTTGTACCTCAGGTGACCCACAGGATCTTGCTACCACTGATTCAATTGCCATGTCCGTGCTGGAAGACTCTATACGTCAGGGAGGTAAGACACCATCCCATCCCCCCATCACGGGGGGTGCTTTTGAAGAGAAAAGGGAACAGTTGTACAATGTGTGATTGCTTTTGGCTCTAACTGTAGAAAGCACTCTTTTGCCTGTTCCCTGGGGCAGGAAAGTTCACTGTTCTCCAAACTCCAATAAGGAGCGTAATCAGTAGGTAAAATATAAAACCACCATGTAGAGAGGTTATTGATCCCAAAGTTATCATTGCAATTTTGACTAAGAGCATTTCTTTTAATTTGTTACAGATTTTCCTGTACTTTGTCACCTTGAAAGTTCCAGGCAAACTATCTTTCATTAACAGGTCTCAAACAGTTTTTTAAGGGAGGCGAATTGCTTTGCCCCTGTCTCACAGGTGAATGAGGCATGGAAATCTAGGGAAGTTAAGAGGCTAGCAAGCATCAGTGGCAGGAAACCCAGGTTTCATGGGTGTGGTGCTCCATCCAGTGTCATTTATTTGTGATTACAATTTTGAGGTCTTTCTTTATCCCCTGCTTAGGAATGGGAACTGAGACAAAGCTAATTTTGTTAGTAAACATGAATTCTAATTTCCCAGGTTGCATTTTCCCTTTCTTTGTCTGCTTTTACAGTAGCTGGACAGCAGACTCAAAGTGTCATTGTCCCCTAGCACTGAAGTCCTTAGCTCTTCTGTTTTGAGAGAGTGGAGCTTTGTGCTTTTCAGGATCAAAGAAGGAAATGGATCATAAATCCAAAGCATATTTTTTGGGGAGGAGAGCATGATATATTTATCTGGTAATACTGAAATATTTGTTGCTTCTTTCATGAAATACATCATTGAAATACGAATAGAAGCATGAAGATTTTGAATGCTCTCCTACTTGTTCTGGAACAGTTAGCATTGTTAGGATCTAGGGTGGTATTTCTGAAAAGGATATATCACTGTGTCCAATTCCGGGCTCCCCAGTTCAAGAAAGATGAGGAACTCCTAGAGAGGGTCAAGAGGAGGGCAACAAACATGATGAGGGGACTGGAGCATCTTCCCTATGAGGAAAGGCTGAGGGAGTTGGGCTTGTTTAGCCTGGAGAAGACTGAGAGGGGATCTCATCAACACGTACAAATATCTTAAGGGTGGATGTCACGAGGACGGAGCCAGACTCTTGTCAGTGGTGCCCAGTGACAGGACAAGGGGCAATGGGCACAAACTGAAACATAAGAGGTTTCAGTTGAATATGTGGAAGAAATTCTTCACTTTGAGGGTGACAGAGCACTGGAACAGGCTGCCCAGGGGGGTTGTGGAGTCTCCTCCTCTGGAGATATTCAAAGCCCGCCTGGACAATGTCCTGTGTAACATGCTCTAGGTGAACCTGCTTTAGCAGGGAGGTTGGACTAGACAATCTTCTGAGGTCCCTTTCAACCCTTGCCATTCTGTGATTCAGATATGTCTCATTTGAAACAAAACTACTGTTGTCTTCCTATGATGTAACGCTGGTGTCCAGCTTCCTCTTCCTCCCCAAGAGGTGAATTATTGATAGAGTGGTTCTGACCCTGCAGGGTTCTTGGGTCTGTCTGTTCTTTTAAACTTCCCTTAGGAGTCATCTTAAAGAAATAACACTGGAATGTGAGGTGTTTTTAATGTGATGGCCCAGAAGTGCCTCCCCTGTTCTATGGATATTGAAACTTTCATGTTTGTAAACCGGGTCCCTCAGCTTTTTTGATGGGAGGGTGAAATCCAATACTATAATGCTGGATCTATCTTCAAAAATTTGCAGTAATTTTTCTGCCATGTATTGTAATCTCCAGTCATCTTCTCTCAAGACTGAATTGATGCAAGACCTTTGGATGGTTTGCGTTGTGAGACTAGGAAATAACTCCGTTACCGTGTGTACAATAGTATGTAGGTGTTTATGTAGATGGTGATGTAAAACTGGGGAGAGAAGTCTCTTCCACAGACAAAAAACATTGAACCTTCACATGATATTCTTAATTTAAGTAAAAAATTAATTTCAAAAATCCCAACAGGTGAAAATGGGCTTAAGGGCAAGGCTATTATTGGATTTGCTGTTGAATTTGGCAGGACAAGGGGAATAGGATTTCAAAGAGAAATGAATCAGAATTTAGCCAGAAAATAAACAGTCATTTGTGGATTCATGTTCTTGAGTATTCCACTTGCTGTCCACTCCCTATGGACCCGGGCTTGGACCAAATTCCAGGGTCTGGATATCCTCAAAGACAATACACATCTAAAATCTGAACCTACCTGTGAATTTTATAAAAGAATTTGTTATGATGGCTGAGTGAAAACTCCACAGAGCTGCAGTCTGTTGCATTCCAAGTCTAAACTTTTGACCTGGCCTTGAGTCCAATGTTAAACATTATTCTCCTTTTGTGGAGTTGAATTTTTGCACGTAAACCTCACAAACTGTGGGAAAAGTCCTATGTAGTTTCATTATCTGCTTCTACTCCTAAGGTACCTGAGCTTTTAACTTGGCCTTTGCATGAGAGATGCAGTACTGATGATTGGAGTAGAACTTGGATTTACAACCTCTGTGGTAGTTTGAAGGCTGAGCTGATGCATAACAACAATACAAATCTCCCAAGAGCAAAGGGAGCCAATCTCTGTGTTGATGAGGACTGTTCCTCTGAGTGCACAATGCTTTCTAGTACCTTTTAAACCCTAAATAAGTACAAAGACCTATGAAATACCAAAAGCAACACAGTAGCTTGCTTACCTTCAAAATGTATTCCTGTTGGGGTGTGGAAATGGGGGCAGCAAATTAGCAAATGAGACACATGTGGAGCTAATCTGAAGTTAAGGTCTTTCTAGAGAGCTGCAAGATTTTTCAGTTGCAGGATGTAAGGCTAAATAAAAGGGAGGATTCTTTACTTCCCCAGGGATAACTGATGAAATCCAACTTTGGACACACCACAGTTTAGGACCAAGAATGTGACTGTTTATTGGAGTTGGCTGAGAGGACAGAGGAGGCTGAAAGGCGGCTGTAGCCAGGTGGATGTTGGTCTCTTCTCCCTGGTAATGGGCGATAGGACGAGGGGAAATGGCCTCAAGTTGCGCCAGGGCAGGTTTAGGTTGGACATTAGGAAAAATTTTTCACAGAAAGGGTTGTTAAGCATTGGAACGGGCTGCCCAGGGAAGTGGTGGAGTCCCCATCCCTGGAGGTATTTAAAAGACGGGCGGACGAGGTGCTTAGGGACATGGTTTAGTGGTGGGATGGCAGGGTTAGGTTAACGATTGGACTTGATGATCTTAAAGGTCTTTTCCAACCTAAAGGATCTATGTGCTGTGTTGAGATATGTCCTTGTAGCCAGTATTCTCATCTGGTTTATCTTCTGGATATGTTCTGTAGAATTAACAGACAGTAAGATCTTTTCTATAAGTGTGTGCACTGTGAAGTATAAAATACAGTAAGTGGACTCTGAGACAGCTTATAAAAGTGATAGAAAGGAACTCATTCTCTCCTCGGTTTTCTAGAGTAAGTCCTGTAAACTCTCATTAAATATCTGTAATAACCTAAGCGAACACTACCCATTACCTTCTAGAAGGTGTTTCCTTAAAGGTTATGAATGGTAGCACAATCCTCCTAGGACAGCACGAGCAGAGATTTCATCTTTCACTCCCTGTGAAGCTAAGAGCTGACATGTTAATCCTCATTGCAGAGTTTAGAAGCTATCACTTGGACCCAACACCTAAAGCACTGACAGGTCTTTTTAGGATCATTAAAACGCTCTGTATGGAAGGCCTGCCTCTGCAGGAATGAGTATATTTTACATTTCCCTCTAACAATGTGTTTGACCTGGATTAGATATGAGTATCTTGCATTTTCCTCTTTCCTTTTTCTAGTTTTACTGTGCATATCTGCTGACATATTGCCTAGTGGAAAGACAGTAGTCTTTTAACACTCTTCTCAATTACTGGGGACAATTTCAAGTTACAGTGTGCAGTTTCTCCAGTTTGACTGACTTTCAAACCTAAGTTTCAGATTTAAGATTCACTCTGAGATTGAGCTGGACAGGGTGCTGGGCCGTTTTGTCTAGACTGTGCTTTTGCGAAGAAAAGTTGGACCAGGTGAAACTTGAGGTCCCTTCCAACCTGGTATGCTATGATTCTGTGACGTTATATGTACATTATAATTTGACTTGAAGATAGGTGAGAGCTGGAAATTGATGGGGAACATGCTATCTTGGCATCTGCAGAAATGATTGTACCTTGAAACTCTAACGCATGAGCAAGTCACTGTGGCTTAGCATGTTCCCACATGGCAGCTGAGCCATGGTAGCTGACCATGTCGCTCAGGACAAGGTAATGTGATGTTGCTTAGCCCATAGAGACCGAGCCTACAGGCAGTAACTTCTTCAGCCATTGTAACCTCCTCTGAGCACACACCCGGCCTGTGTGGAAAGGCATAACTAGAAAAGCCCCCAAAATTAAGGCAGTAAGACAATGCTTCTGTCCCGTTCGATACTCCCTCTCCCTTTTGTTCCTCACTTGCTACAGATGGTGGCTACATGCCTGTGGAGGCAGCTGATTGCACTGAGGTCACTGTGTATCTCACTGATACGTACCATACTTCACTGTCTTTCACTTCAAATATCTTTATTCTTATTTTCCTGTGGTTTGGCTGATTGAGATGGAATGGCATAGATATAACTGGGAAGAGAAGCTGGAGAATATAAAATCATTATATAGAATTCTCTTCTCAGATAACAATGCATATATCTAACCAAGGTGTAGGATGGATTTACACATAAAGTAGCTACTCCTTAATAGGTTTTTCTGTGTAGTTTGTGCTCCACAGTAATGCAAGACAACATACCTCAATTTGTAGGATGAGACACCTCACTTTTATCTTGGGATAAAAACATTCATGTTGGCCCTTTTAGTACAGGGCAACTGTTGTGCTATAAATCTATATCCCAGCGTTGGTGTAACTTGTCCTCGAGTATGTATTGCCAGCTGCTTCTGAGAATTTCTGCTGGCTGACTCAAAGGAGTTATTTACTACCCGATGCAAGACTGGGCTGTGGTATCCAATGTCATGGAGTTTGCTAAAGCTACTAATTTAGCAAAGTCTCGGAAAAGGGTTGGGCATTTAGTAGGCAGAAAGCCAGGTGACCAAAAATGAACAGTACATGTAACCCATATTTCAAGGTTTAATTTAGTTTGCTAAAGATCTGCATGGAAGTTATTATTCCAGCTGCCTCCTAGGCAACATCTCCTACATCCTTCTAAATATATGGTACCAGTTACTCCATCAGCTGCACGGAGGATTCTATACAGCATTTCCTATATGCGTGCTTGTATCCAAGAGTAGAATTTCACTTCCTAGTGCTGTCAGATGAATTAAATTAAATTTAGAGCACATTGCATTCATTTTCAAAACCTCTTTTCTTTCTTGCTTTCTCTTGCAAGTGAGCACATCTGTGAAGCAGCAGTACCACGACAACATCCGCTGGATTCGGGAAGCTGGCAGGCACAGCTTGGTGAGTGCACAACCTCCTTCAGCACATGCGACCACTCCTGGTCCAGAATGCAGTTTTTGAATGCTGGAGTGAAAAGTGGGAATGGGCATGAATGCAAACACTGGCTGTAAGTCCCAGTGCTGATAACTTACTTAAGCCTCTATCCACAGCAGGGTTTCAGGGTGAGCTGAAGCAGTTCTTTCCCTTCACTTCCTCATCTGGAAATATTCAAATAATCCAGCAATATCTAGTCTCATACCTGGAGTGAAACATGTCAATGTTTCTCCATCCACCTCATTTGTAACTACCTTTCTTCCAGAGCACTATTCAAAATGTCCTTCTTGGCGTTGCTTTGGCCTGACCTCTTCATGCCTGCAGTTCCCAGTACACTTTCCAAAACAGGTGATGAGGCCAAAGAATTGCTATCCTTTTGCATTGTGGCAACCAGGATGCCAGTGAAGCATCCTTTGTTTTTCTTTTAGGGCAGGCTCTCACTGTGAAGCTAACTGATAACACTGTAGGGCTCACATGTGCTCCTCTCATCTGGAAGCCAGGTTGGTCTGTGGGGTAAAAGCTGAAGAGGAACATAGCTGTGCAGGACAGATGTTCTTTGCCATTCTTTGTCTCCATATTTCTCTTCCCTTCCAGCCCACCAATGCCGGTTCCAAACCTCTGCTTCTCAGCTGTTGATAAGGGATTTGTTGATGGGGGATTATAGCCTAGCAATCAGGTTGGTTTAAAAAGTGGGATTTATTGAACAGTAGCAGCTGAATACAGCAATACATCTCACTGATTGTGTGAGTGGAGATAAAACTCAGTTCAAAGAGGGATTTTAATTTCTTTTTTCTGGAAGCTGGATGTTGATGAAGAAATAATCTGCACTTTCTCCTACAGAAGGGGTCAATCTTGTGACTCCATTTATCTGGGGCCTGAAGATAAGCCAGTTGCACAGAGAACCTTATCGCTCTGGCATTTTTATTTTCCAGGTTGTTGGCTCTCAAGCTAGAATCTTATACTCTGATCAGAGGGGTCGTGTGTCTATAGCTGTGGCTATTAATCGAGCGATTTCTGAAGGAAGGATTAAGGTTTGTCTTTTTTGTCTTGATATGGTCTGGTAATTGTGTTTAATATCTGCGGCTGGGGTGGCAGGTGGGAAAGGAGAAAGCTTCACCCAGTGAGAACAGAAGTGCCTGCTGTTTGTATGGGACCAGTATTCTATTCGCATGTATTAGAGCTCAGTCTTGGGCTTTGTCTGTCACCAGTATTGTGCTACGTAATAGAAGAGAGACTGGTTTAGAAACTCCAAAATATGCTACCTTTTATTTCACGGTGGGAGTCCACCTTATTTTCTATTTGGGCATCTATAAGCACAACATAACATGCTGTGAATTGCTGAAAACACGAGGCAGGGACAGTAACTCCTTAGCAGTGCCTCCAAAATTAAAAGTAACAAGAGACCCTGCCAACTGCCCAGTGCATCTTATCCTCTGTCCCTCGCTGTCAGCCATATTATGGCTACAGCCAGCTCTGCAGTCAATTTTTATTTACATTGCATATGTGAATGAAGAAAATGCCACTCTAGTGCATAATGAGTAATATCTTGCTCATCAGAGTAAAATCCCACTGACCAAAAGTACATACTATGGGCAAGATTGCATAGGGATTTTCTAAGTTCTTCATGAGTGTTGTAGGTAGATGTACCATGTGACATCCTGGGGGACCAAAAGCCTGAAGACACCACTCAGTTGTTATACCCATTACTTGCTGCGTGTACTGCAGCATCAGACCAAGGCATGCTTGCTCATTCATCTTCATCTCTTTTATAGTTGAATTACAATTACCCTTTTTAAAGGGGCAAAATCAAGTAAAACTTAGAATGGATTCTAGCTAGGAAAGGTCTGGGGTTTGTTACTCAGATGTTTATTAAAACATTTCAAATGCTGTTGACCTTCTCAGGATTCAAAATGAACATTGCTGCAAGCTAGTCTTAAAAAATAAACCTGATCAGACAGAGCACTCCCTTGGAGCTACAACTGACAAGGTCAGACTCCCAGGACCTTCAGATTTTGTTTCTACAAATCTCCATTCCCCTTCTCGCAAGCTGGGTGCTCATGTCTATTTTCAATGATTTTTCTAATTCACTGCCAGCATAAAACAGAAACAGCTAATTCCAGACCACACCATGCCAAGAGTGAATTATCCTTACATAAGCATGGCAAATGATAATGAAGACCTGCAAGCTGATCTAGATTCATACTGTCAATTAAATTCCAGATCAAGAATGGACTTGTTTGAGCTGTATGAAGTAACTGATTTTCATTGCTATCCTATTTTTAGTTTTGAAGTCTTCCAAAAGAATGAAAAAGTGTAAAAATTCTTACTGTTAGTTTTCATTTTCAACAGTAAACAAGAACTATTTTGAATGAAGATTTTTGCATACTGAAATACCTTTGAAATTTCAGCCAAGAAATGCTCAGATGAAATAACCATACTGCTTCCCTTCCTTTCCCTGCCCTCCTTGGAGGATGTTGTTGGCATAAAAACAAGCTCTTGTTCTTAGTTTTGAAAGGATGGTGGCTTTCATGAACAGCGTGTGAACAACTGTTTTATAATGAATAATAGCAGTCAGAGAAGGTGTTTCAGGGGTTTAGGAGAGGGGACAAAGCTGAGATTTGAAATTAAGACAGAAGTGAGTTCAGCAAATGAAGATCCTCAATAACATTGACAGTCCATGAAGGATTCCATTTTCTTGTCCTTGGTTTTTTGTAGGCTCCAGTAGTCCTCAGCAGAGATCACCACGATGTGAGTGGGACCGACAGTCCTTACAGAGAAACATCAAACATTTATGATGGATCAGCCTTTTGTGCAGGTCAGCGGAGCAGCTGAGGCTTCTCTGTCCAGGCAAATGAGGAAATTGCTTTAAAAGATAAATTGAGGTTTTACGCAACATTTCAAAAATGTTTTTGTTTAACCCTTTAATCCTAATTAATCAGATTTCTTAAGAAGCTTTGTTGGATTTAATAGTGATAGAGATGAATGTGGAGCTAGTTAAACAGGAGAGGTCCAGAACAATGCTGAAAATTCAATGAAGATGCATCAGATTTACCTGAATGTAAATGGAGAGCAGTCTATCTTGGAGGACTGTATCTTCTGTTTGGTTTTAATTTTGCACCTCACTGTTTCAAAGAAGTGATCTGAGCAGAATTACATCTATATTTCCTTGGGATCCACAAGATCAAAATCGGGTCTACAATAGTATTTTGCTTAAAGTGAAAAGATTCACAGCTGTGTTCATTTCACTGCTTGAGGACTCAAGAAGAGTTTCTGAAGGGAACTCTTCTGGTCATAAGAGAACACACTTTGATAGTAAAAGCATAAGAATGGCAGTCAGGTGTTCCAGATTAGACTCCAAGCTTTGTTGCTCACTTACAGTGTGACTGTGGGCAAATCATGTAGGTTTGCTGTACAAAAGGAGCCTTTAATTCTGCACACCTGACCTGAGCTAACTAGACTCTGCTTTTAAGTTTGTGAAATGGTGCTTTAGAAAAATAAATGCAAGAAGTATCAGATTGGAGACCTGAAAGAAAATGAGTGAAGCACTAAGCAATTCGTAACCTAAATCTTCCTCAATTTTCCGTCCATGAAGTGGAAATTATGATAATAGCTTTAGCCCAGTAGTGTTTCTGCATGTCATGAGCTGACAATCACAAAGCAGCTTGAGATTGGAGGGTACAAGCTGCTGTAGAAAGAGAAATTATGATAGAGGTAGCTGAGTATATTGAATTACTTCCATTATGGGTATTCATAATAGTACCAAATTATGGCTCAATTTTAAGGAGAAAAGTTCCCTGCTATCTTAACTGTATTTCCTGATGAAATGAGGCTTTTAGCTGTGTCCATCAGTCCCACTTCAACACTTTTTGAGTATGTTGGCTAGTTCTAACAGGCCAGATGGATAGATGCCTTGAATAATGTTTGGTTCTGACAAGCTGTGAGAAAATGGTGCAGCTGCACAGAGAACAGCACTCCAAAGTAATGTCTCCACCAAAGGGCTTAACAACATAAGTAAACCTCAGGCAATGCCCTCAGAAGAGGGCAACAGAAACAAGGCTTGCAAAACCCCATTGCTCATCGTGTTATGTATTTTACTTTACATTTTGTGATTTACATGAACAATTTTCCTTCCCTAAAGGCTTATCTAAAGCCTGTTGGCCACTGATTTTACTGGTCTTTGAATCCAGGCCTAACTCTGTTTTACCAGATGAGCCTCTGGAGGTAATAAAATAACATCTTAGGTCTTCCTCTCTCCCTTCTTTCCCATTGTTTTAACACCATATTTGAGCTACTTCAGTTGAAATTGGTTCCTCTCTAGCACACAGGAATTTTCCAGAGTGTTTGCCTGTCCTATTTTGTTTTGCAGTAAGTACCTCAGCCTGATCCTTGGCAAACATGGGTCATCGCTGCTTGGCAAAGTGTAGTTCGGCACAGGCATTTGCACAGTTAGTGACTCTTACCAAATTGAAGGAGCAGCATGTAATTGCATCGTTAGTCCACTTGTGAGGCTCCTTCTCCAGCCTCCACTCTTACCACGATAGTGGATGAGGAAGAAATCTGTACATTTTTAGAATATGGGGATTTTGATCTCTCCCATTCCCTCTTGACAGCACTGTAATTATGATAATTGGGTTATTAAAGTGACATAATGCCAGATAAAAGATGTCATAATGGGGCTTTTGACAGGGTTTAGCATAGATTAGTGCTCAAGTAAACTCATTTTTCCATCAGACGTGTAACAACTGCGGGTCTGCAGATGTGGCTGGTGGGGATATTGCTGTTTGTCTCTTATTTTTTGCTGTTAAAAGCACAGCAAATGATCTACTAAATCCATCCTGAATTAAATCTGGACAACTGTTTTCAGTAAATTTTACCCTGCTAGTCTCTGTGTGTACTTCTTTCCACCTCTAGATATATCCTCTAGCACAACTTGTAGGGAACATACAAAATTCTAGTGCATGTTTCTGTGGAAATCATACATTTGACATTAGTCAAATGACATTTGTCTGCTAAATTATTTTTCTTCATTTTTTTTAGAACAAAAGAAACCTCTGTGATTTCAGTAGTTCATGTTCAGCGTAAAATTCCCCCATGTGCAGAGAATTGGGGCCAATTTCACTTTCATACCAACTGTGTTGCCAAAATGCAACTCCTTATCCTTAGACTGGCTCTCTTCACAGGGCTGAATTAACTCCGCAATCTGATCTGAAAGTGCTTCAGGCTTCTGAGAACCGCAAATTGTGTAGTTTTCCATGTGTTCCCCCCCATTTTGAAACCCTCCACACAAATGTGTCCAACCTGTTCTGCCACAAATCAGGCATCCCAAAGGAGAGGATTGTATTTCTCTCCACCCTCAGGAGGTATCTCCCAGCTGAGGAGTGGTACTTCAGCTGCTTGAATTGGATCACAAATGCAGAAAGCACCAGAGTCCTCACAAACCTCCGTGTGAAATTGGCATTTGCTTCCTCCAGTGTTAGGGGCAAAGAGCAGGAAGAAAATATCTGTTGCCTGTTCCTCCCAAGAATGAGATGCTCGGTGTGTATCTGTGAGACAAGCTGTGAGTAAACCCTGCCTCCAACACTGCCCTCACACAGCCCAAATGAAGGTGTTAGTGGAAGGAGTCGGAAGCACAACAAAACCCCAAATGCAGCATGTCAGAGCCATAACGCCTTTCCTCTCTTCCTAGACATGGCGGTACAAAATTTTGTAGGAGATGCATTCAGAGGAGCAACCTGGGTTGCATTGCACAACGGTGGTGGAGTTGGCTGGTAAGAAATTATTTACGTTTCTAAAGCTGGACCCTGAATCCTGTTACCACTGCTGTGTATGTGCATGGGGAGGAGACACAGGAGGGGAATTGCAGAAAAAATGTGTATTACTGGAGAAGTGCAGTGTCATGATCATGGGAAGGATGGGTTTGGAGTTGAGGATGTATTGTATAGGGTAAAATGTGGTATTGTATGAGGCTTTTTTAATTAATGCCCATATGTCTAGAAAAAGTGTTTTGGACATTGGCCACAGCACAGTTTGGAGAACTTAATTTGCCAAACAAGGACAAGTCTGCCGTGATCTTTTTGAACAAATCCTACTTCCAAAGTTGTCTTCACACATGCACAGCCAGAGTGTTAGTGGATGGATTATGTTTAGGTTTCCCCTTAAGCTGTATTTAAATCTGTGACCTTAGGACCCCAATATAAATACCCATGTGCTAAAGTGCAACGAGGGGTTATTGATACAAAACAGCTCAGGTGCAAGCAAACCCCCCAGTCTTCTTTTCTCCCCTTGCTCGTGCCTGGTAAGGTAAAAGACCACAGCCAAGTAAGGACTTGATTAGACACCTCCTTCACATAAGATGCAGCACTAAGAGAAATGTCTAAACTGAAATGCAGCAAGAGAGAATTTTTTTTGTATACAGAGCGAAATTAATCTCCTTCATGTGCCACTGAAAGGTTACTCTGGGTTGGCAGAGGTTTAGGGAAATAGAGAGCCTGGCCATGCTACAGAGTCTTTAGTTCAGGTTTGTTCTTTCCAGCGTAGTCCAGCAAAGCCTCTCCCATTTACAGTCATGTCTTCAGTTAGTGTTGTCACCAGTCGAAAGGGGGGCAACCCCCTGTTAAATGCTGTAGTGAACCCTCCCACTTCCCTGTTCTATCCAGCTCTCAAATATGCCAACAACAGCAAGCCAAAGGACTTGTAGCAGATGTTATCCTCAGAGACATTTGATGATAATTTATTATTACTCATCCAGATGATCTGGATCTAGAAAATATCCCTTCAAGTCAGATGGAGAATTCCCTCTCCTGTACTCTTAACTCCTTTGATTTCAGTGAAGTAACTACTGAATAGAAGGTACATGAGAGCAAAATTGCACAGTGGGATAGGAAGGATTTCTGAGGGCATAGACACATGGAGTGAAAATCTGGCTTTACTGATTTCAGTGGTAACACCCACTGTGGCCGGGATTTTATTCACAACTTCCATAATTCTGAATGGAAAACACATACCAGAATATCTGCTTTGGCCATCTCAGTCTCAGGCTCCAGAGACAGCAGGAGACTAGATCTGTCTGAATGGCCTGAGCTGAGTTGAACATTTTAAAATATCTGCTTATGAAATATAAGCAAAGAAAATAACTTTCCACTACATGTTGTGCAAAATATTTGGATTTTTTAATAACTGATAATTGTAATTATAACTGATAAAATTGCAACTGTAAGACTTGCTAAAATAATTAGTTATGCCATGAATATTCTGTGCATAGATGATGCTTAACTCTAAGGATGCAAATGATCATATTCCCTCTCTCTCTGGCCTCTGTAAGGCCAGTCCCTCCTGCATGTTTCTAGCCCTCTGAGCATTTCTAAGAGAGATTGGCTGAATGGTGAGACTACCCTTACTTCTGGAAAACTGGCACTGGCCACGCTGCAATTATAGTTATATTGGTTTAGTTGTTTCTTAAGTGAAGTTACATCATTAGAAAGAAGCTCTTCCCCGAGGCAGAGCAGAGGTGCTGTCGTTTATGTGATGCATCAGAAAATTAGCACGTGGCTATTCACTGAAATCAAAATATCGATGCAAACCCAGGGTTCGGCTATTCTTTCTGACATTTCCTATGGCTGCTCAGAGGCTTGCCATTGTGGGACAGTATCTGCTCACCTTGTTCTCGGGAGCAGTCATAGCCCTCTGTGATTAAATTACTGTGCTTCAGTGAAGAACGCAGAGCCTGAAAATTAGGCTTGTCTCTGCATGAGCCTCAATAAGCCACCATGCTGAGACTCAGATGTGGTAACAATGTCATGTCATTAGGTGCTGTGGTCTGGAGAGCCCCCGAAAGCCACGGCAGGGCAGGTGGCTCTGCTTGCCTTAACTAATTGTGGCACCACCCTGGCTAGTTCAAGTGCTGCACCCCTGTGCCTTCTAAAGAGGAAGAGAGGAATAATTTAAAGGTGGTAAAAGAAGCAAAACCAACCCCCAACCACAACAAATTACTTTCTTTGCCTGGAAGAGACAGATGCCTTTAGGTTCTAGGACCCTGTTTTTCTTTTCCTCTGGAGAGCCAAAAATTCAGCTGGTTTTGCCATAATGAAATCTCCATGTGCCTGATAAAATCTTCTTGTCATCAGCTGATTTGGAAAAGTGTAAGTGCATGTGGAAGCTTTATATATATTTACAAACAAATGTGCACGTGATTAGAGAGAAATCAAGTTGTCATTGGCAAGTTTCTGTTCAGGGAGTTCAGAAATGGCAATTGCACTGTGTTCAGCTACCAGTCCTGAGGCTGGACTCACCTGGAACTGCTGACAGATCTGCCACGTCTTCCCTATGAGACTAGAGAAGTGCCTTTTACCTCTGATTTTTCTGTGCTACTGCCTTGTGGGACAAACAAAAAGCAGGATTAATATTTATTTAGCTGGAATCTGCATCACATGTGCTGTTTGAGAGACTTAAGATTAACATAGTCTTGACTGTAATTACAGCAAATGAATGTTATTCACTTCTTGCTGCCTGTTTATTTGCAGGAGAATGTATGTTAGCACGGAGCCTGAGTAACCTGTAGTAACAAAAAGGCAGAAGCAATTTAAGAATTGAACTGCACTGCTGACAGTGTGACATCTTGATTGTGAGAGGCCTTGTTTTCTTTGATCACCTTAGAAGGAGACATCTGGAAATTATAGGAGGTAGCTTAGGTCAAAATGCCACATGTTTCTTTAATTACCCAAAAATGTGACCCAATGCTAACGAAGGCAAAGAGCTCTCCTTTAAAAGTGAGAGGTTTTGCTAGAAAATCCATCCGAACAAACATTATGTGTGATTTTTAGACAGTCGGGCAGATTCTGATGAGCGATTCTGATTTACTCTGGAGTAACTCCATGGAAATCGATGGAGAGGCTCTAAATTTATGGAGTGCAAGTGAGATCAGACGCTCACTGTTCATGCCTAAGCTTCAAAGAATGTTCTTTGGAATGCTGTGCACAGAGGGGATCTTTGCCACTGAAGGAACATCATCTTCCCATGTGGAAGCACTGGTCCAAAGGTCTGATTTTCTTACTGCCTGATATTGCCAATAGGCTGTCCTGAGGTGTGCTCGTACTGTGATCCCAGTTACATTGCAACGGCATCATTGGTCTGTACTCTAGCTTGGTACTTTGGCAGTAAAAAATAGTGCTAATTTGGTCTCTGTACACAGCAGCAGCAGAATATGGTAAGGTAACCGGCCTTGGCCTTGATATAATTAATTTGTAATGTTGTCATCCAGTCTGGTCCCCTCTTCTGGAGAAGATGGTAACAACATGAGCTCTTCAAAAAGTAGAATTTGCAAGAAATGCAGATGTTTGGATGTTTGTTTTCATCCCAAAATGAGACTAAGAGCAGAACTAATGAAAGATTTCACACAATAAAAAGACCCTAGGAATTAATTTCCAGGCTGAAAAGTGTTGACAGTGTCAATCAAAAAGAAACATTTTATTTTGAAGAGTCAGAGCTTACAACATTCAAACATCTCAATTGAAAACATGACTTTGTTTAAAATTTTCCTGTTAAAGATAAGAAACTGATCCATTCCCTGACATTCTGCTGTGAGAACTGTCAGTTTCAAGAAAACTCTGCCTTTCAACAGAAAAGGTATTTGTGATAATGATGTATCTGATAGTGGTAAAGCAGAGGGAATTCACAGAATGGTGTTGTGATGGTGAGATCTGGTGCTCTAAGTTCCTTGCTCAGGTATGTGATAAGGTCCTACTTAGCACACAGGTAGTGTGCATAACCAGTGAAAGGGAATTAACGTCACATAAGTAACAGCATTCCACTGAAAGTGAGAAAATGTGATTTTTAGTTTCAGGAAGATCATCTCAGGTCTGTGGGGCTCCAGTGTAGCCTCATTTCCCCATTTCCTGAGAAGCCCAAGTTACTGCTGGAAAATATACAGTAAGAAACTATTCCTTCCTGGACTGGAAGACACCTAACTCCTGTCTGATTCATGGATATGTCTGTGGTTATTCTATGTAAATTTTGTAAACTTATTAATGATATTAACTATAAACCACAGAGGACAAAATCCTGCCTCCAGGGACCTCCATTAGTAGTCTCTCATACCAATGTGGTGGTGTATGATATGCCATGTCCCTCAGGTATTGCTGATGCTGAGTTATAATACCAGAACTCACAGATTTACGGCAACAGATAATTATCCAGCTGCATTCACCACTATTCACCATATGCAAAGAAACAAGAATTTGAGCAGGCCAGACTCCAAAGTCAGACACAAGATGTTTTGCTCTACGTGTTTTCCGTGTCCTTTTAAAACCAGACTGGTATTTCTCCCAAGTATAATCTGTTAGTTTTAACATATTTCTGTTCTTCTTCTGCCAATAAGTCTGCTTCCTGAAAAGCTGGCACTGATGTCCTTAAACATCTATGTATTTCATACAAAATGAATGACTGCTTTTGAAATGATCGAGGCAGATGTGCATTAAGTGGTGGTTAACACTTTTTTTTAATAAAATACTTATGCTCTCTCACTTGTCCCGAGAGAATATAAATAGATCCATCTGTCTGCTTCAATAAGTACACAATCCTCCTCACGATCTTATTTATATGGCAGGCTCTAGCATAGCAAACATGAACAGCTTAACCTTTAAAAATACCCCGAGAGAGGTAACTCTCCAGCCCATCAGAAGTGCTAACCTTTCTTTACTTTTTCTAGAGTCAGTACAGTGCGTGGTCCTCAGGAGATGCAGCACAAACGTAATTTTTGGCACTCCTGCTTGGAGCAGATACCTACTGCTAGCTGGGCATTACAAGAAAGGTAGAACTGGTTTGCTGCAGGTCAGGAAGCTAGGCCTTTGCCCTGCTAAATTTCTTTTTTTTCTTTTTTTTTTTTTTTTTTTTGTGGTAAGTATAAAAGGTCACTGGTAGTGTCACAGCACAATTTCTATGTTCTCATCCTCCTTCTTGCAGTGCAACTGAACAAATTAACTCCTGTGAATTTTGTGGGATTGGTTTGAATTATTTTAATTCTGTTACATTTATATTTCTTTAGGGGTGAAGTGATCAATGGGGGATTTGGCTTGGTTTTGGATGGATCCACAGAGGCTGAAGAACGGGCTAAGATGATGCTCAGCTGGGATGTTTCCAATGGAGTAAGTAAAACTCATTATATATGTTTGCCCCTGCCTCCGGGACTGTTTATTTAGGTACTCAGTTTCCAGTGCTCCTATCCTTTTTAACTGAACAGGAGTATGAACACTCAGGCAGGAGTTTTGGGGATCTTTTTGTATCCCAGGAATAGTATTAGTGGGCCAAGTGACTCATTCTATTCACTGCTTCTAATATGGGTGGTTATGGGCTTGATTCCGCTAGAGCCAATGAGTTGTTTGGTTTGGTTTTTTTCTCCAACCAACTTCAAAGGACTTTAAGTCAATAAAAGAGGCTGAATAATTCTTGGGTAAGGAACTTACCATAAAGAGTCAGGACCACCCCCTCTGACTTTAGAACACATTAGAGCCCAATAGTTTCCACATATCTCAGCGTATGTTTTGTTATTTTTTTAAACTGAAAGGGAAGTTTGCTTATGATAATTTTGTTAGACATGCTGGCATTGCTGTTTGCCTACATTATACAATTGACAATTATATGAACTTTAGTCTTGTCTATTCCTAACTTCTAGATCTAGGTATCTTGAAAGGTTTGTCATTTAAGTGCCAGCTCGTCCAGCCCTTGCTACCATTAGAGTTTTTGCATTCCATTGGTGTCCAGATGGATCCTATCTGCTTTAAGACTAGGATCCCATCCCTGAAGCGGCAGAGAGGTTTTGATTCAATACTTGCAGGGAACCTAGTCAGCAGCACATAGTGATGCACAGTCCCATTAAATGACAAAGCCTGTTGCGTTTCAGTCACAAACGTCACAAGGACCTGATGTATTGAGGGAGCTCCTTGCCAATGCTGACGTGATCTGTTCTGTTTTACTTCTCAAGAGAATTGCAGAATTCCTTCGTGCCTTAGAGCTAAATGTTTTTTTTTTTTTCTCCATAAGGCCTGGCATGACTGGGGGTAGAAGAGGAGGAGGAACAATTTCCACATATTCCCTGTCCCAGATCTGAAATAACACATTAGTAAACTATTAAGGAAGAAGGAGGAGGACAATTATATTAATTTGTAGATTAGAGTAATGAAGACAAACCCTTAACATGCACTGTGTATCAGAGACAGCCTATTAAAAACCCAATAAATCTTTCACTGCTCTGATTTATTGCAAGCAAAAGCCCCACTCCTCCACACATGTCTTGAAAAAGGACAATCTGAGAATGCTACCCATATTCTATACAAGACTGGAAAGAAACTGGAGTATACGCGCGAAAATGTACTGTTATTGCTATGATCCTGGGAACTTATTAGGCTTACATTAATCATATGCTTAAATATTTTGCTTAATTGGAACTTAAGTATTCTCTTTCTTGAACACTTTTGAGCCTGAATATTTCAGACACCAATTTGCAATTCATAATTGTAAGGCATTGAATAGAGGGAAGGACTTACTTCCTTTGTGCCAAATCTTGACTTGTTTTCATCTGGGGAATCATGCTTGCACACAAATCAAAATGCAGGCTTTGCTCTGGGAAGAGGCACTTACCAGTTCCATGGCTGTCCATAAAGCTTTATCCTTATGTGCTGGCAGAGAATTTGGCTCCTTTATTTCATGGTTTGAAAATGCATTGAGTGACACTTTCCTTTGAAATATTTATCCCACTACAAAAGCATTGATTTCTTAAATGATAGTTATCTAAAGCAAGTGCTAGTTTTACAGAGCTGGGATGGAGTGCACAATTATTTTTAGTGAGAGAATCTTGTAATGTTTACAAGGTACCTGGCTTGACCAATGTTATCTGCCCAATGTTACTTTTCTGCATGAAAATGTACCAAGTCTATCCAAATACTACTCATAAAAATGAAGTAGGTATTACAAAAATTACTTTCAAAATGAGTAAGGAAACCAGAAACTGGCAGAGCGTTGAAAGATTTGTTGTCCTGAAATTGGGTACCAGTGTTTGTGCAAATATTGTGTCAGATGGATGTGGCAAGAGAAATCTACAGTTTTCACACCCATTGATTTTCTGCTCTGACAGGTTGCCAGACGCTGCTGGTCGGGTAATGACTATGCGTATGAAACGATCTGCCAAGCAATGAAAGAGAAAGCCACATTGAAGGTGACTCTCCCTCACAAGGTGGTGGACGAGAACATCTTGGAGCAAGCCCTGAAACATTAGTGGTATTCCTAGTGCAATGGTGTCCTTGCGGATACATTTGAAGTTGCTTCCTTGATACCCTATTTTGCTCTCTGGCCAAATGATAAAAGTCTTGAAAATGTCTCTTCCATGTGAGTTCTTTTCTTCCCCTTTGATTTGTTAATGGGGCAAACCTGTATCTGTCTGTGACAGGTCCACTGATGTCGGGAACAGTCCTTCACTAACATATTCAGAACAACGTTTGCAGTAAGAAACTAATCATTGTAAGGAAAGGAATTGGAATTTTGTCCCTGAAAATTAAATGGGGAAAAAAAGAAAAAAAGAATCCACTTATTCCTAAATTAAGAAGGCTCTTAGGTCTGGTAGATCAAATGTGGAATGGAAATTGGAACTCTTCATTCTAATTCAGAGTTTGCTGCTATCAGCAAAGAGCCATGAAATCCAGTAGCCAAACTTGTGGCTCTGTAAACAAACTTATTCTTCAGCTGGTGGAGGATGTACTGATATCACATGTGCTAGACTCAAGCTTTTCTATATTGCCATAAAAGCATTTGGTGATTGCAAAGAAGATTTTCACCACAAGCAGGAACAGAATGCAGCAACAGGTAAATGGGAGGAAAAGTCTGTGACCAGTAAGTACTAGACCATTTCCAAACACCTCACAGCAAGGCCAGGAAAATATGGAACAAATCATGATAAATTAGTGTGAGCCAAATTCTGCATCATTCTGGTGCCATTCTGCTGAATCTGATCATGTGTGTGCTTTGCTGCCTCACAGTGAAGAGTTTGTTCTTCTGTAGAAGCCCATTGCACTTGAGCAGTTCCTAAATGGATGGAAACCTCCAGAAAAATTTAGATCCTTAGTGCTGGCTGCTGCTGCTTTTTAATGAAAAAACATGGCGTACCCACCCATTTGGATGTGAGTGGTGCAATTAGTAAAGCACTGTAACAAAATGATCATGTAGCCTTTCCTCCTGAAATAAAACACGACTGATGTGAAACCAAAGCACCAAAGGCCATGTGGGCTTCCTTCACACAGAAGTTGATTATGAACTAAAATAGAGATACAAGTGTCTTTTTGGCCTGCCTTTTTCCCAGGAAGAGCTAGGAAGGCGCACAAGGCAGTGTGCATAGATGCAACTGAGAGAAACCTTCAGACACAAACACAGAGCATCAGCAATCCCGTCCCCCCATGTGCAGGTGGTACGGGACTTCACCTGGTCTGTCATTCGGGCTCCTTGGCACCGCATCCGTTACCCCCTGGGAGGGACAGGGGTTACACAGGTAAACCTGCGTGGGCTGCTGCACATGAGGGGTGATGAGCTGCAGTCCTCAGGACTGTGGGGTCTCAGGAAACTGTACAAGGGTGGCACTTGCCAGGTGAGCACACTGCAACTCTGTATTGCCTCTGGTGATGAGTAAGGGAAACTATTTTGAATCACAAATCAGTTCTTTACCCTGTTCACGTACTGTATATGTCTCCAGATGAATAGTGAGAGCATGGCATCTGCTTGTAACTGAACCTTCTGTGAAGTGCAATCTGCAGTTGATCGGAATTGCTTTATATTATGGAAAAAAACCATCCACATTGCCAAGTTATACGACTGAGAAGTGAGTAGTTGTCAGCCAGATTTGACAGCCTTTGCTTTGACATATGTTATGCATTACCTATTATTAATAACCACACTGGACTGAATCCAAAGTTAGTACCTTGGTATTGTGCAAAACCCCTCTAGTCTTCATAGCCCAAAAGCACTAGGGTACCTTTTTGTCGTGAGGAATAACCAGAAAATATGCTGGCTTTTCTGTACTAAGGAACGTGGAGCTGCTGCATAGATCCATCTTAATTGAGTTGTAGTTCTGAGTTGAAAATCCACCAAAGACAAAACGTAGCAGAAATATTTCTTATGAACTCGTAATCTTTGTATTGTTTAGTATCGGGGTACCTGCCAGCACGCTCACCTTCACATCCCAGACAAAAAAGGAGCCTTGTTTTCATCCTTATAGCTATACTGACCAGGGGATGTAACCTTGCAAGTACCCCTGTGTTGAATGCTGCCCAAGTCTCTGGGAGTTTAGAACTCTGGACTACTTGTAGGGAGACATAGAACCAGAATGTATGAGCACAATTCAAGAGCTGTTAGTTGAAGTTCAAGTTATAAAGTCTTTGTCTGTTGACTAGGTGGCATAAGGCAAAATGGGTTACAGAAAAGCAGTGAACTGATGAGCAGTTGGTCATATTTATGACTACTCACTGTTGTCTGTTTTAATTATGAAGTACATATAGTTATGTCTATACATTTAAAACTACTTTGGTCTTTTAACTGCGTATCTCAAGCACTTAACAAATGTGAACTGAGGTTTACAATACCTTTGGGGAGGGCACAAGGAAACAGTAACCTGTTATTGCCTGGGATGAAATAAGTGGTTTCCAGCATACAGAAAACATGACCAAGACCAGTGTCAAGATTCCCTTTCTGAGCCCTGCTGAGCCTCATTTTATCTGTTCTCTACTTGTTTGCTGGGATGGTGAATGGGCTATTGTTCTGTGGGGATGCTGATGTCATTTTTAGGTAGCTGACCTCATTGCTGAACAAACCCGATACAGGGAGAGCAGTCTTCAAGCCATGCATCTGCAGGCATTGCAACAGATCTGGACAACAGATACAGAGGTGGTGAATTTCTGTAGTGAAGTCTCGAGCTTGCCACAGGATGAAGCACAATTCCTAGGATACCTTAATGCTTGCCTCAGAACACAGACACTTGTCCTGAAAAGCTTGTGCCTGGTTGCTGCTAGAGGCAAGAGCTTGGTGACAAAGGATAATTCTTGCAGGATACTCAGATATATGTAACTACAGTGGTTTTTAATGGTATAAAGTTTGTGATGCAAACGTGCTGCTAGCTCTCCTAGTTAGGGTCCTGTTGAATCTCTCCAGGCTGTGGCAAGCACAAGGGATTGGTGGCTTGATTTTTTGGGTTTTGTTTATTCTTTTCTCCTTCAGGTTTGATATCCTTCAACTGGGGATGCACTGTGTGTTAAGCAATAAACTCCTGAGCAGATCTTTCCATTCCTAGGAACACGAAGGAAGGTACTGCAGAGACCTCCATGGGGAGATAAGGATGGC